TAAAATAAAATAAATATACATATAAATGAAATGAAATACAATAAATTAATAAATAATAAATAATATAACTGAATGAGAACTGCTCCAAAACAAATTTAAATGCGGTAATTGTTGAGTTAATCTTTGTACTACTCTATTATATTTTATTTTTTATATTTTTTTTTAAAGATTTAATTTTTATTTATTTTTATATTTGATTAGTTTTATTGAATTTTCTGTGAATTAATTAACCCCATCTTAAACATGTAAATTCACCCTATACATACATATATAGTTTTAGATACATTTTGTGTCTGTAAAAGTTGTAATAAAATATAAGCATCAGCAGTTAAAGTATGTCCCTTGGCAACTACCAACACCCACATTTATACTACGCAATACAACCCTTTTCCGCTAAGTGCCTTTGTTACCTGCAACCAATAACGGAAGTTTTGTCGAAACTTTCTTTCAATGGTTTACTTAGCGATATTTCCTTTGCTTTCATAGATAGAACACACGCGCTAATCAGTTGAGTGGCAAACAGGAACCTTACTTACGCCTCCAAACATAGGGGAAAATGTGTTTATGTGTGTATGTAAGCCAGGTGCGCTTCAAAACGCTTTTACGCGCAGGTAACAAAGCAGGAAGTTCTTGACAATATCCTTAATGTTTCAGTCGCTTAGTTGAGTGGTCTTACAATGCATAGTTATAGGTTGGTGCATACATACTTTTTCACATATATACAATATTTAAGATATATTAACAAGCGTAAAGAAAGTGATGGGGAACTTGGTTTGCTTAAGAGTGCAAAGACAGATTAATAAAAAAAAAATGTTTGAACAATAAGTTTTAGAAACTTGTCGCTTTGGTTGCTAGCTGTCAACTCGTATATTCTCCTTGCCTTTTGCTGGCATATCTTACCAAGTTGTTGGAAAATTTCCACTTCTAACACGCTTTTCTGAGTTTTCTTTGCTTCTTACGTAGCTTAAAGTGCGCTAAAGTATTTTTTCTCAAACTTAATTGTGTGACATACACATGTAATTGATTCATTAAAACCTTCTTCAGTACAAACATACATATTTATAAGTAAGTGATTTTATCGTTTCTCTCTTGGAAGTCATCAACGTTTTTTTTTACTTTATTATGTCTACCATTTCTGCGTTCTTTCTTCTGATGCAGCTCAGTTTCAGCTTAATTTTTCTGCTATTTTTATTGTTGTTATTGCACTTGCTTTTGCACATCCTTTTGTGATTTAGTGTTGACAACCTCGTTAGTACCTTTTGGCAGTTTATAGTACATTGTCATTCATACTCTTTACATAAGGACATATATTGTAAACATACAAGCATATGGGATACCATGCACAACAAAAAGGGATTTACGGCAATTCCAGTAAAAAAAAATTCTCGTAACATATTATTAAATCTATTTCATAATTTTTCTTCATCCATCTTGTCATACAAATTTTTAATTAACATGCATTATATGTTTAAATTATTTATAACTTTTTATGAGAATGAAATTGTGCATTAACATAACTTTAGCAAGAAGAATTTTAGTACTAGAAGGAGCTTCTGCTTCATGGATTCATACCGATATGGTGCTGAACTGAAGTGATTTAGTCATATCCGCCTCTATGAGACTCTCTATGTCTTTCTGGCTCTCCAACTGTAGGTCTATCTGCCTATCCGTCCGTCTAATTGAACACATAGAGATCTCTCAGCTTTTGATATATAAGAAAGCAACTTGATATGTGAATGTGGTTTTGCAGTGTATTAAATCTTTTTAATAATTGATCATATCGATAGTCAGTCGTATCTATAGCTTTCAAATGACCCATTTGCTCAGATACTCTATTTGGGATCATAACTCTCCCAATTACCAAAGTCAAAATTTTACTATATTTATTAAAGGTATAAAAGCTTTGGCGGTACTCAACATAACTCTTCTTTTCTGTTTTTACCTTTATTTTGTCTGGAATTGCTTCATTAAAGATTCATTTTAAAGTATCATATGTGGGCATCTTCAAACTCACACTCTAGAGCGTCTGTTAGTCATTAAACCACAGAACATATCACAGTGCTGAGCATTGCAAAATTATATTCACCGATTTGTGGTCTTGATGTTTTAGGACACCTATGAACGGTTGATGGATTTTGAAGGAGAGTTTTATTGAGAATACGTATTCTTAAATTTTGAATATTTATCTCCTAAAAGATCGCAGTGCTAACCGTCCGATTATCGCGGTCGCATAGGAGTAAAAACCTACTGAAGAGCCTATGTTAAATCATAAAACTTACTTCACTTATACAATAAATCTCAGGGGAGAACCCTGAAATAGAACAAATTAAGATCATTGCACTCTAGATGTTTTTCTGTTAAAAATAAAAGTCAATTTCTTCCTCCCTGGTTACGTTGTTTGTGTCCGAAACGCTTTCTTACTTCCGTGGCAGTACGTATGCACATTTCCAAATATCTTTTCAGATGGCAACGCCTATATGAGATCACTGCACTCCCAGTTCTAGCGGTAGCTGGTCGGGTCTTATCCAACTTGCGTCGAATGCAGTCAAATCGCTCAACGTAGCTCTTGAATGCAGTAACTAATGTCTGGTTGCTGTTCTGTATGTCTACTCTTGGGAAAAAAACCTCGATATATAATCCCTTCGAAGACGCGTTTCATATGTATAATAACTCTTAAAAGTTTCCTTTGTACAGCACGTTTTGAGCCTAGTGGTGTTTTAACTTCGTTTCATTGCTTTTTGGTTAGCATAAATCAGGTGTTCTGTCAGTTTTTGAGATATTTAATACTCGAAATGAATCTGAAGTTTAACCACCTGTTCTTATTTGTATATATTTCATCTTTTTCTGGCTTCTCATTAGCAGCACCATTGCAAAACGTTAGTTACATGTATATATATATATAAGACTAAGTAAAAAGTTCGTTCGGTTTTTATCTAAAAGATGGTGTTATTGTCCATAGTACTAGTGTTACGTGTCGCATCATGTCATACTATATGGCGCTGAAAACATGTTTATTAGCGCTAAAAGATTGTCCTTGACAGTTTTTCGGTCGATTGACTCAGTACGTTGGCAGCGCCCATCAAGACACCAGCTAAGAGAAAATTCGCTATATTTTACACCGCCACACCGGCTGAAAAAATTAATTTGTTTTATGGGCTCGATACTGTAAACGAACGTGTAGCACAAAAGTGGTTTGCTACGTTTCGTTCCGGTAATTTCGACTCCAAAGATGCACCAGGTTTTGCTGTGTGTTTGGTGGGATTGGCAAGGAACCATCTACTACGAGCTGCTCCCCTATGGCCGAACACTCATTTCGGCCATCTACTGCCAACAAATGGACTGCTTTAGGGCAGCACTTATCCATAAGAAACCATCTTTGATCCACAGAGGCCGAATTGTGTTCCATCAGAACAACTCCAGGCCGCAAACGTCTTTGGCGACGCGCCAGATGCTCCAGGAGCTCGGCTGGGAGGTTTTATTGCACCCACCTATAGTCCGGACCTGGCACCAAGTGATTACCATCTTTTCCTGTCCATGGCGCACGCGCTTAATGTTGAGAAACTGGCCTAAAGAGAGGCCTGTGAAAATTGGCTCTCCGAGTTTTTTGCCAATAGGGACGCAGCCTTCTAAGAGAGGTAAAGGTGGCATCTCATTGGCAACAAGTTTACGAACAAAACGGTGCATATTTGATTTAAATCGGACAAATGTACACGAATTTGTCATATTTTGAAGAAATCAATACAAAACCGAACAAACTTCTTACTTGGCCTGATAATAAACAAGGAATTAAAACGACCGACATTTCACATACTCAATGTTACACAAACACGTCAGTATTTGTAATTCTAAAAAAAATATTTAACCTAAATCAGAACAATTTAAAACGCTCAATTTAAAGCAATAAAAGGATATTTATTTTTATTACTAAATCTATTAGACATATGTACACATACATATATATATATAATATGAACGCAAACATTTCAGTTAAGGAAATACATTTACTCTTCCATAGCTTTGGGCTAAACATATTTATTGACTTTTGCTTATCTGAAAAACAAACACGCACACACATACCTTCATGCTTGTACGTTTAAATATGCATATGTATATATATCTATATATATTTAAATCACCACACACTATTCACAAATATTTAAATGGCGCACGTTTTCAAGACATCAAAAAACATATTTTCGTACAAGATTTATTACAATTTTCCCATTTACGATTATAGATATTTTATATTCTCCAAGTAAATACATTTGTGTGTGCGTGTGTGTATGCCATAAAGTTTTGAGCAATATTTTTTTCTCCTTCTTTCATTTTGATAAAAGGCAATGAAATCAATATTTACCAATAAAATATTCAATCGAAAATTCTGTTTTTAATCTGTTTTCAGTATACAACAACAATAACTAGGCAACAACAATCTAAGAAATATAGCTAGCACAAAGGAAAACAACGCTCAGCAAGTGTCACAGCGTTAGCCGATAACTATGTGCTATAAAAGTATTGAAAATATTTATACTTATGTGTGCATAAATTGAAATCCATTGAAAAGCTGCTAAAAAGCTGATAAGTGTTAACAGTAAAATTTTGCCAATGGCAAGCAACAATAGCAAACGAAAATAAATTTCTTCATCACAAGTGCCAGCTTGACAGCGGCATAAGAATTAAAGAGATTTTATTTCATATATGTATATAAGTGAGAAGTTATCAACATAAATGCTTAAACGCCATAAAGTATGCAATACAATTTTTAAAAGTGCGCCCGTATGCTGTTGTTAACTAAATACAGCAGTTAACCAGCGGCACTAAGTAAAGCATGTGTGCGGCCAGCGTCCATGTATAAGTGGCTTTCGAAATAAAATTTCCTCAGCGTATTTGAACATATGCACGAGTATATATGTAGCGACATCAGTATACGCTTACCCTCATGCTAGTTAAGCATTTATGAAATATAGAAGTGATTAATGAGTCATAGGCCTAATGCGACATAAATCAAAGAGAAAAGGGTAAAATAAACTTTTAACGCTGGAATGGCCTACAATCTGCGTTGAAATCAACTCTCAGGCATGAGTAGTGTGTATTTGGTGGGTTCTGAATTGAGTTGTGCTGCCCTAATGCATGTATTTTAGCATAGTTTTTGTGCGGTGCTTATATGCTTTAAAATCCATACCATTTTCATAAAGTACACTTAATGCGTTTAACGCTTGTCAACATGTATATTTAAGCCTCTGCTCTGGCGCCACAAATATTTTAGTTGGGTCCAATTTAGGTGTGTTGCAGAAAATATTAGCATATGGTGAGCGTGTGATAAGTGGCTAACAGACAGCGATTAATTTGAAATTATCATGTTGCACAGTGGCAAATTTATTTGGAAATTTAAAGCAGTTAGAATTTATTTTCAGAAAGGGTTACGGGTTCAATAAAGCTTCAGGAAAATACACAAATTCAACGCGGGGCTAATCACATAAACGGAGAGCAATGCTAACGGTATTTAGCAAGTTTAATTTGCATTCAGCTTAGTGTTTGCGTATTGGCAGCGCATGTATTTTATTCTATAAAATATTCAAGCATTAAACTGATTTCAACACTTGAAATGTAGATCTGACATAGAAAAGGTACTTTTAAAGTGATTTTGTTTTGCTTTACGCAGTCAGGAGATGACATTACTAAAATAAAAGGGAGAGATTTTTATGAATTGTCCACTTTGCTTTCAATTCAACGAAGATAATCTGTTCCCCAAAATTTCGAAATTTTTCAAACTTTCTAGTTCTTCAAAACCGAAAATATTTATGTTTATATATGCTCGTATTGATTCAAGGTGCCTTCTTTTGTTAGCATTTAAAATTTGTTTAAATACTTTTCCAATGCAACATTCCTATCCTAGTTAAATTAGAGCCGAGACAAAAAAGCTTAACTCACACCAAATCCTAATTAATTTTCCAGTCAATTTAACTATTGCACACTCATATATACACGTAGCTACAAACAGAGAGCTTAGGTTTTGCATGAGCAGCTGTGCGCAATTAATTGAAAAGAAAAACCATTTTACATATGTATATGTAAAAAACATGTACGTGTTTGACACCACTACCGTGCGAGTGATTAATTTAAATTGATTTTGCGGAATTTTCGATTTGGAAGCAATAAAAAAAATACTGTAGCTGAGAGTGTCAAAAGAAATATTATAAAAATTAAAAAAAAAAAAACGAAATGATAAAATTAACAAATAAGAAATAATTATAAAACTGATTGTAAATAAAAGCAATAAACACTAAAAAAAAATCTAATAAAAATATTTAAATCAAAAAGTTGAATAAAAAACTTTAACAAAATCCATATATAAGTACATATATCAAAACGATAAAAAAAGAGGGAAGAAATTTAAGTAAATGAAGGAAAATCTAATAGAAAAATATATAATTAAACAATAATAATACTAATAAAATACAAAGAAAATAATATCTTAATATAATAAGTAAAATAAGTAAATAAAAAAGCAAATAAAAAGTAAATAAATATTTAAAAAAATAATAATTACATAAACACCAAATAACTAATTGCAAGACAGAGATAATTTGAAATATTAAAATAAGTAGAAATAACAAATAATTACTTGAAAAATAAAGAAACTATAATTAAAAATATATAATTCATTAAACATTTAATAAAAAATCTCAATAAAACCCATACATAAATATACCAATAAGCAAAAAAATAAAAATAAATACATAAGCAGTTGAAATTAATCAATAAATAAATAAATTTATAAATGAATAAATAAAAAAATGAGTAAATAAGTATTTAAAAAAATTAATAAACAAGTAGAAAGATAAAAAACAATAAGTGAACCAATAATTTATTCTTTAGGAAAACCATAATATAATATATCAACAAACAAAAAAAAAATATAAATCGAATCTATGTAAAAAAATAATATTATATGATTTAGCAAATAAAAAATTAATATTATATTTAAATAATTCTTTATTCAATAAGTAAAAAATGGAGTGATAAATATAAAAGTAAATAAATAAATATATAAATAAATAAATAGATAAATAAATAAATATATAAATAAATAAATAGATAAATAGATAAATAAATAAATAAATAAATAAATAAATAAATAAATAAATAAATAAATATATNCAAATAAAGAAATAAATAAACAAGTAAATAAAGAAATAAAGAAATTATCAAATAAAAAAGTAAATAAATAAATAAATATATAAATAAACAAATAAATAGATAAATAAATAAATAAATAATAAATAACTAAATAAATATATAAATTATTTAATAAACAAATAAATGTAAATAGATAATTAATTAAATAAATAAATAAATAAATAAATAAACAATAAATAACTAAATAAATATATAAATTATTTAATAAACAAATAAATGTAAATAGATAATTAATTAAATAAATAAATAAATAAATAAATAAGTAAATAAATAAATTAACAAATAAATAAATAAACAAATAAAGAAATAATTAAATAATTAAATAATTAAATAATTAAATAAATAAATCAATAAATTCAAAAGGAAAAATAAATTAACCGAAAATACGGTGAAATCAGTAAAAATTCGATTAAATTAGAATAGTTTTTTTTTTACAAATTTTTAAAAAATTGCCTTTCAAATAAAAATAAATTAAATTTTTTCTCTGTGCCAACAGTGATGAAAAGCCACAAATTTGGATTTTGAAATTGCACGAAAAAGAAATAAATATAGCGACAAATGCTATGTTGCAATAAAGTAAATTGTAAAATATCAGCAAAATAGATAAAACTGTGTAGTAAGCGGTAAACATACATACATAAAACGTAAATAAAATACAAACCTATGTAACTTATGCATGAGCACTACCAATAGGTTTGTAGGTAATTGAAAGTGTAACTGTGTGAAAACAAATACTAACCAGCAACACCTGGTTGCAAACAATTTGCATTAGCATATGCCGAATAGTGTTAAACAACAACACCAACACCAACAATAAGAACTAAATTAATTGAAAATAATATAACAACAAAAAAAAGAAAAACAAAAAACAACAATTACAATTACAGTTGTGCAATTGATATCACTCTGAAGCCAATTAGTCAGATTGCCAGCTACTAAACTGCCCTGCTGTCCGACTAACTTACTACGAGTGCATATGTGCACACATACATACACACATAACTACCACTCTGTGCAACTATACGATTTGAAAAGCGTAAGTAAATAAAGTAGCAGCAACAGCGGCAGCAATAACAACAGCAAAATAAAAAACAACAAGCGACTGGAGTAAAAGGTAAAGAAGGCGAAAAAAAAACCTTTTGAATTTTTCAACATGGACATGGATCCAACAAATCGGTGAGTAAACAAAAAGCACTAAATCAATTACTTATATTATACATACATACAAATACTTCACTAATTGTTGGGGCAATGAAATTGTCTTTTGTACTGGAAGTCATAAAAATATTATTAAATGAGCATTATTTTCAAATTACTTAGTTTTTAGTTAGAGTATAGTAAGCGTGTACTTTCGGTACAAGCGACTGAGTTTTATTATTTTCTCAACACGTATCATGCTATAAACTCATTTTGGTGGTTTTCTTGAAAGATTTATTCATGCGAAAAATTCGGACTGGGAGATGATTACTTAATAATCAATTAAAAACAGTTCAGAATAGAATTTTCCAAAACTTATGCGAAGCCAATTCGATTTATTGTTGAGACCAATTCAGATTTTCGCTGCTTGGAATGAAGTTAGAACTATTTCCGAAAAGTCGAAATGAAGTTCATCTATATTTAAAGACCCGTTTGAGACAAGTTAATAATATTTAAAATCAGTAAAAAAATTTATAAGATTATTTCGAGACAGACTTTCAGAAGGTATCAACATCAGATTTAATTCTAGTAACACCCGGAGATGTTATCTAGTGACTGATGCCCAAAGTTAAACTGTATTCATAGAACACTTTCCCAACCTGCTGATTGACAGTGAAATTGCAACATCAGAAGAAGCTGATTCTCAAATCGTTGTCGATGGAACAGATCTTTCCTTGTCCGACTATGAAGAAATTCTAACAGCAATCGCGCATTAGAAAAACAACAAACCGGCTATGAAAAATAATCCATAAAAAAGGGCGATCCCAAAGTCTGCTCCTAAAGCTCTGTAAGGATCGGAAATGACTCCCCGAGCCGTTCAATGCCAAATGAGATTCAGACAAGGAGATTCTTTTCAGTTTATTGCCTATGCAACTGGGCTGTGAGCTCTACGATCACCAGACCAGATAAGGAAGCGAAGGATATGGGTTTGATAGTCAGCGAGAACAAAACGATATATCTCCTGTCATCACATAAACAGTCATCGCATTCGCTCTCCGGCTCCCACGTCATTGTTGACAGTAATAACTTTGAAGTCGTAGATAATTTTTTGTCTATCTAGGAACCAGCATCGACACCAATAATAACGTCTTGCCAACAGTTGCTACATTGGAATGAGTAGGAAATTGAGAAGTAAAGTCCTCTCTCGACGAAGGAAGACTAAACTCTACAGGTCGCTCATATTTCCCATCCTGCTGTATGGCGCGAAAGCATGGACGATCACACCTTCAGAATCGGCGCAAGGAGTTTCCGAGAGAATGATTTTACTTAAGAGGAAGAAGAAAACCTTCACTTCGTTAGAATGACTGGTTAGAGAAGAACCTGGCTGTACTTGGTATTTTTAATTGGCGCCAAACATGGAAGAGAAAGGAAAAAGGACGGGCTGTTCTTAACTCTGATAAAATTGCGTAGGTCTTGTCTACGCCAGTAAAGAATTAGAAGAAGTAGGTTGAGAGTAGTTTAGAAATCTTTTTGAACATTTTCGTTACCAGGTGGCAGCCGTTCGATATCTGTTGGAGTAACCTAAGCTTCTTGAGCTTAGTTGGAACAAGTCTGACATGAGTTGATTTTAATCTGATAATTTCAGAATAATTTCAGTTTTCCTAAGACCTTTAAACCATGTAAGGGTTTGTTGGCTATAGTTCGGACCTAGGCCAGTGTAATTTGGTAACAATATTGAAAAATTGTGGATATAATTTAAGAATTAATCAAAGATCATTAAAACGAATGCTTTCTTTTTTATTCAAAAGCATTTTCCACTGGTTAATATCTTTCATTCCAAGAATCTGTGTTTATTTTTATATTTTTATGTAATACTTGCTTTCCATGATGTTAATTCTCCTTTTATAAACAAAAAAATCTGAAACTCATTTACTCACATGGCAAGCATACTACACAACAATTACCTTTCCAACAAACACACCTAGAAATACAAGGAATTTATCGACAGCGTTATCTGCATTGAAATTTGAGCGCTAAAAATGCAATCAGAGCAATTGCGAATAACTTTAATATTATTGCTTTTTTATCAATCAAATCAAGTTTATTGCTTTAGCACTTTTGCGTGTCATTCTGTTTATGTATTTGGAGAATTTAATGGAAAAATAGAGATTTTTGCGCTTTATATGTATTTTATGTATAACTCCTCCGTGAGCTAAAAATATATTTTTTATTATTGTTATGAATTTTCTTTTAGCTCGTGCTTCAATATATTTATGCGCACATAGTTATTTTTTAGTTGTTTGTAAAAAAAATAAATTCAGCATTTACTCGCACTGACTTGGCAGCAACACAACCAAACGGAGCGCTCGAACTTTATTGATTGACTTGAAGTGGCAACACTTCAGACAAGACCTTATTTGCGTGAAGTTTTCTAAAGTGCTCTTTGGTGATTTTCAAAAGTTTTTCGTTTTTTTTTTTTTGGGTGGATAAATTATCAATGTTTAATATAGGCTTTGACATAGGGAAAAAAGATATAGCTAAAAATTTTTTAAATATTTTTTATTTATTTTTACCAAAATAATATCCCTTTGCTTCAAAGCAAATTGAAAGCTAATATTGATATCACAAAGGCAAGGCTTAAAGTAATCGCAAACTTTACTTTGATATCGCACAGAAGTGCGTTTTGATAAAATCACTAACAAAAGATTGTCATGCTTTCCTCGCTAAATATTTTTGATAGGTGATGTGTCTTTTAGTAATTTTTATGCCCAAAAAATACCAATTATTTCCTAATTTTCTAAAAATACTGTTCAGATTATCAAATTTCTCGTGTAACTAATCAAGAAATTGGTTAAATTTTTAAGAAATTTAAAATCACTGGATTGGTTGAAGATGTTTGAAGGACTGTGCATCATCACTTTTTTTGTTCCACCTCAAAATATCGCTACTGCAAGGGAAAGTGTAGCCGAAGACCCGAATAAGTCTATTCCTCGACGTTCTCATGAACATCCACCTCCATATAAAGGTCAGTTTGCACAACAACTGAAGCTAGCTAACTATACACAACACCGATTTTTCCTAGAAAATTTTCTTCAGCAACAAGGCACATTTCTCACTCATAACTAAGCAGTAAGAAAATATGGCAAATGTGGCTCCTAGGAACCTCAAATAATTGAAAAGAGCTGTCTAGTGCGCTTTTTTGTCAGAAGCTGCGGTCGGGCCTCACTTCTTTGAAAACGCCAACGGCGAGACTGTCACTGTTAATTCGGAGAGATGAGGCATTATCGTGAGAGAAATGTCTTGTCGTCTTTTCGACAACAAAGGGCCACCGAGATTATGCGATTTGACACTGTTGGTCTTTTTTTGTGCAGTTATGAGATAAAAATTCATACAAGAAAAATCTTATGTTGAAACATATTTTATTCACACTTTTTTCAATTTAGACATCTACTCGTATCACTTCAGGCTTTCTTCGACGACATTGAAAGAGATCATACGCGGGACCCGATCATTGCTGACGTAGATGCGGCTTAAGCGATTATAGCCGATTTAACAGCAGCACGTCCTTCTTTACTCCTTTTCGCCAGGTACACCCAGTTTCTTCTCCATCTGGTTTTTCTTATCCTCTGCTTCCTCCGGCGGGTACTGTGGCGAATTCAAACAGCGATAAATACTTTTAGTTTACATGGAAAATTCGGGAGATTTGCCTACAATGCATTGACTTCGTGACACAAACCCAAAGTATATACCTGCCCCTGTGACCAAGCGTAGAATTTTCATAACCTCTATGCCTCCTTTATCAGGGTCATTAAACAGATGTATTCTCCCTTAAATTATAGAACTCCACCCAGACTTTCTAATGCAATTTTTTTGCTTGATTGAACTTTGGCACAACTTTATTTTGCCAATTGAGGCTTATTTTAATGGAACCAGTTCTCGTAGTTGTTGACACGAATTAATTATGAAAAATTAAATAGGCCACAGCACGAACTTAAATTTTTTACGTCCATTTTATTTAGTTTTATTACTTTTTCCATTTCTTATTTAAATGGAGTATTAAAGTTTTATTTACTGGGTCTTTTGTTTAAAATTAAATATATTAAAAACGTCATAAATCGTAGATAAAAATACTTAGTTTTTGAAATATCTAGTAATATTTGATAAATCATGAAAGTGTTATATGCTTTTTTTAAATAGTCTCTTTTTCCTTGAGACATACCCTTTGGTACTACGTCCTATGTGTACTTATCAATCTTTATCTCTTTAAGTAGAGGCTGTCATATTTACATATATGTCGATGATGTAAAATTTACTGAGGGTTTGGAAAAAATAAAAATAAACCACAAACTTAAATTTAAAAAATAGCTACTCTAAATATATGATTCAAATACAACTACCAAAAAGAATTTTAAATAATATTGGCTTAAACTATGACTACACTGCAGCCACAATTACAACAATTGCTGCAACTACCACTAAAAATACAACAACACGTACAACTGCAGCTATTACTATTGTTACAGCTATAAATATAACTAGAATTACTACAAGAACTAAATGTTATAACTAAAGCCTCAACTACTATAAAACTTAAATAGCAACCACAACTACAAGTTTTATTTCAACTTAAACTACAACAGCAACCTCAGCTACAACGACAGCTGCGAATACAGCCAACTTCAACTGAGTAAAATTAGAATTCTAACTACAACTTCAACTACAGACTACGAACTACGAACTACAACTACAATTTACAATTACAAATTACAAATGGCAACCACAACTACAAATTAGAATTACCAATTACAGCTACAACTAGAAACTGCAACTGCAAACTACAACTTTAAACCACAACTGCAAACTTCATCTACAAACCACAGTTACAAACTACAAATACCAGCTAAAACCACATTTTACAACTACAAACTACAAGTACAGCCATTTATTTCATTACAACAGAACATAAATGACAACTGAAGCTAACACTGCAATTGGTATTAAACTACAATTGAAGGTTAAACTAGGAGTGCAACTGTTTT